GACATTTCGTACGAAAGTCTGATCAAATATAAGAAAGTCTGATAGATGTCATATAAATGTCTGATAAAATGTCCGACATTTCGTTCAAAAGTCTGATCAAGTATAAGAATGTCTGATAGATGTCGGATAAATGTCTGATAAAATGTCCGACAGTTCGTACAAAAGTCTGATCAAGTATAAGAAAATGGCCTGACTATTCTGATCAACGTCTGATGAAAACTATTTTCATATATACAATTTATTATGGTTTAAGTTTATTAATTTTAATAATAATTTATAAGCTTCCATTATTCATGACTTCTTAAGGGTACATAAATAAATAATAGAAATTTATAGATTATTTTTAAAATTAATAAAATTAAACCATACTACTTACGTATTATATACGAAAATAGAGTTCATTATATACATCTATTTAAAATTATAAAATTAAACCATAAAAAATGATGTAATTTGTTTGCTAATTTTTGTGTATTAACAAAGTTTAAAGAAATTTAAACAATAATCATCACATATGCAGATGTTGTTTACTTGATTTCCAAAAACTAACTGAGAAAATAAAAGAAAATAAAAATTAAATTCCCTTTTAAAGTACAGTTGACGAATTTCAAAATATAAACAGGTTTGTGCATGATTTTTATAAAAAAAAAACAAAATTTCCTTCAGATAATGTGCAGAGTTGTCGCAAAATTTTCTTACAAAAGTACTGAAAATGGGAACAAAATGACCGAGCAAAAAATATCAGAAAATGTGCAGACTATTCTGTTAAATATCTAAAGGAACGTTACAAAAACAATTCTCTTCAGATTATGTGCAGATTTATCGGATATAATTCTTAATCCATTTTATATTTTACTTCAGAAAATGTATAGACTATTCTCCTTTATGTCTAAAAAATAATATAGGAAAAAAAATCAAATTGTCCTCCGCCAATGTGCAGATTAGTCTCATAATTGTCGTAACACTGAAATTCCCTTTCGACAATGTGCAGACAAGTCTGATATTAATCGTTTAATACTTCAGAAAATGTGCAGAAAAGTCTAACAAACAGTTTGCCGATTATTCTGTAAAATGTCTAAAGGAAATTTAGAAATTCGTTAAAAATTCTGATAAAGTATAAGAATTATTTCAGAAAATTTCTGACATCAGACATGTCTGAAAAAATTGTTTACTGGGACGTTACGTTGTTATTGGCTAGAAACATGAAATTAAATATGTAGAGCCTGGATTAGGCAAGAACACATTAAAGGCACTTATTGGTACTTTTTCGTTCTCCAAAGGGTACTTTTTGAATTTTCTATAATATTGTACCTAGAAACATGAAATTTAGCATGTAGGGCCTTGACTAGGTAAGAACCTATTAAAGGGGACTTTTGGTACTTGTTCGTTCTACAAAAGGTACTTTTTGAATTTTCTATAATATTGAACCTAGAAACATGAAATTAAGTATGTAGAGCCCGGATTAGGCCAGAACACATAAAAGGGGCCTTTTTGGTACCTTTCGTTCTACAAAAGGTACTTTTTGAATTTTCTATAATATTGAACCTAGAAACATGAAATTTAGCATGTAGGGCCTGGACTAGGTAAGAACCTATAAAAGGGGACTTTTTGGTACTTTTTCGTTCTACAAAAGGTACTTTTTTAATTTTCTATAATATGAACCTAGAAACATGAAATTAAGTATGTTGAGCCCGAATTAGGTCATATCAAATAAAAGGGGACTTTTGGTACTTTTTCGTTCTACAAAAGGTACTTTTTGAATTTTCTATAATATTGAACCTAGAAACATGAAATTTAGCATGTAGAGCCTTGACTAGGTAAGAACCTATAAAAGGGGACTTTTTGGTATTTTTTCGTTTTACAAAACATACTTTTTGAAATTTCTATAATATTGAACCTAGAAATATGAAATTAAACATAAAGAGCCCGGATTAAGTTAGAACGTATAAAATGAGATACAATTGGTATTTTTGATTTTTTGTAATAAAATTCGTACTGACTGTTTTTTAACGCATCATGGTGAAGATGCGGCACAGCCGAATATAGTACTTACTTGTTTTGTCAACAAATTTAAAATATTTCTGAATTAAGGTAAAAATCAAAATTAATGCTTTATTTTGAACAAATGATCTATAATATTAACATAATCACTACTGTAGGGTATCATATGGTCGGCCATGTTCGACTATACGTTCTTACATGGTTTAAAACTGACACTATTCTGTTACCAAGATCGTATAAAAGATGTCACGTCCATTATTGATAGTTTGTCCATTTGTTCTGCGAATGTTCAGATGGATGTAAGTTAGTAGTTAGTAGTTAGTTAGGTAGTTAATTGGTTAGTTAGTTAGGTAGCTAGTTAGTTAGTTAGTTAGTTAGTTAGTAGTTATTAGTTAGTTAGTTAGTTAGTTAGTTAGTTAGTTAGTAGTTAGTAGTAGTTAGTTAGTTAGTAGTAGTTAGTTAGTTAGTTAGTTAGTTAGTTAGTTAGTTAGTAGTTAGTTAGTTAGTTAGTTAGTTAGTAGTTGTTAGTTAGTTAGTTTGTTAGTTAGTAGTAGTTAGTTAGTTAGTTAGTTAGTTAGTAGTTAGTTAGTTAGTTAGTTAGTTAGTTAGTTAGTTAGTAGTTAGTTAGTTAGTTAGTTAGTTAGTAGTAGTAGTTAGTAGTTAGTTAGTTAGTTAGTTAGTTAGTTAGTAGTTAGTTAGTAGTTAGTTAGTTAGTTAGTTAGTTAGTTAGTAGTTAGTTAGTTAGTTAGTAGTTAGTTAGTTAGTTAGTTAGTTAGTTAGTTAGTTAGTTAGTTTGTTAGTTAGTTAGTTAGTTTGTGTAGTTAGTTAGTTAGTAGTTAGTTAGTTAGTTAGTAGTTAGTTAGTTAGTTAGTTAGTTAGTTAGTTAGTTAGTTAGTTAGTTAGTTAGGAGTTAGTTAGTTAGTTAGTTAGTAGTTAGTTAGTTAGTTAGTAGTTAGTTAGTTAGTTAGTAGTAGTTAGTAGTTAGTTAGGTTAGTAGTTAGTAGTTAGTTAGTTAGTTAGTTAGTTAGTTAGTTAGTAGTTAGTAGTTAGTTAGTTAGTTAGTTAGTTAGTTAGTTAGTTAGTTAGTAGTTAGTTAGTTAGTTAGTTAGTAGTTAGTTAGTTAGTTAGTTAGTTAGTTAGTAGTTAGTTAGTTAGTTAGTAGTTAGTTAGTTAGTTAGTTAGTAGTTAGTTAGTTAGTTAGTAGTTAGTTAGTTAGTTAGTTAGTTGTTAGTTAGTTAGTTAGTTAGTTAGTTAGTTAGTTAGTTAGTAGTTAGTAGTTAGTTAGTTAGTAGTTAGTTAGTTAGTTAGTTAGTAGTTAGTTAGTTAGTTAGTTAGTTAGTTAGTAGTTAGTTAGTTAGTAGTTAGTAGTTAGTAGTTAGTTAGTTAGTTAGTTAGTTAGTAGTTAGTTAGTTAGTTAGTTAGTTAGTTAGTAGTTAGTTAGTTAGTAGTTAGTTAGGTAGTTAGTTAGTTAGTTAGTTAGTAGTTAGTAGTTAGTTAGTAGTTAGTTAGTTAGTTAGTTAGTTAGTAGTTAGTTAGTTAGTTAGTTAGTTAGTTAGTAGTAGTTAGTTAGTTAGATAGATAAATAGTTAGCTAGTTATCGCACTCTATGGGACAACAAGTCCTCCCAAGTCCTCATGTTTCCTATGATGGCAAATACTTGTATAAAAATTCTATATTGCTACTTCGCTTCTTTCCCCAAACCTAGATTATGTAACCAATCGATTAATTTTCGTATGAAATAAAAATCTTCTGTTTTAGCATGTTCTCTTATTTTATGAGTTTATGAATTTTATATTTTTATAAAAGTTTTACGCTTACAAAACTAAAACTTATACAATAATTAAGTAAATTATAAGCTGGGCTTTTGTAATTTAACTTAAAGAATACATTTTAGAAAAATATAAAATAAAATTAACACAATCTTTTCAAATTATTAAAAAAATATTGATAAATTAAATTATATATACAACATATAAAAAAATTAATTTGCTTAAAATTAAATGAGGAAAAATATAAAAATATAAAACTAAAACTTAAAGGATTTCATTTCCAATGTTTAGTTTAGATTATTTTCAATTGGAAATCATAATACTACATTATTTATTACTGGCGTATATTTTAAGGTTATGTTTTAAATTAATTATTATTAATTAATTTTAATTGTAATAAAATAATTATATTTAGAATCAACCACATATAAAATACACAAAAAAATTATAAACAATCACAGGAATGCAGCAAGGTGTTTTTAATTTTTTTTTCTTAAATTTGTAATAATTTTTTTTTAATTTTCAATAACTACACACTAAAAATTGTCAATTTTACTTTTTTATAAATAAGTAAACATTAGTGTTTTTAAAAATAAATTAATTTATAGCCTATGAGGGACAGAGAGGAAGGATGTGAGTGCATAAGATAGAGGAGAGAGGTTTTTTGTTAAATTGCTAAATTTTTAAATTTTTATATCGGCTTTGAGTCGAACTTCTTTAAGCACGATATTTAAGTAACCAGCCTTATATTTTTTTAATTAAACTTAAATAAAATTTAAATACTAATGATAAGGGCGATAGTGTTGTCTACACCATTTACATATGAATAATTGTAAAACCTTGATGCATACAATATCGATCGAAGTTACATTGTTTGACATTTCCGTCGATTTCGATAGATATCAATTTTGACGCGTGCATACAAGTCAAACTTGTAAAAACCTAAATCAGTTTAAGAGCGTGAAATGGGATGATCTTCTTATGGAATGAAAAATACAATATTTTAAATGTGTATGAGTGTGTTCTGTGTGCTTTTCTAATCTAAAGTGACTAAATTTATCTTACTGAGATATGTTGTGTCTGGAATAATTTCTATTTTCATATAAAATTGAAATAGATTTATTTTTAAATATTAAATGTTGCAGCTCTTTGTTGTTGCTGTTGATGCAACAGATGCAGTTGTCTTTGCTCCTGTTGCAATTTATGAGAATATGTTGCAAAAGTTTAGCATCATTCTGTGCTGTTCATAGTAGTTTCAGGGGTTGATGTCTCGTTATCTTCATCACTGTCAATATTAAATCTGACATGATGATGACGACGATGATGATGATGTCTATGGTGTTTGTGTTTGTGTTGAGCTTCTGCAATTTCTTTCTCTTCTTTTGCTTGTTGTTTTTGCTGTTCCTGTTCTTCCATTTGTTCTCTAATCTGTTGTAATTTCAAGTGTCTCTTATGTTGAAAGTGCCCGGTGTAGTTGTTGCTGCATTTCCTTTTCCTCATTTATTGAGGCCGTATTATCGTTGGGATCCAAGTGATTGTCGGCGGTTGGTGCTAAATATGTGGTCGATTCGGTATCGTGTAATTCATGGGTCATATTAAAGATTGACGTCTAAGATTAGCATACATTCCTTCTTCGTCCTTATTGTGTTTCTGATTGATGGGCGCAAATGAGGCGTATCCAATCATTTTGACGTCTAATCTTGGGTACCTGCCAAAAGCAATTAAGATTTTTATTAATTATTTAGTTTTAAAAAGTAAATTTAAGTGATGTATTCAATTTTAAAATACCATACATCAATATTAATTAATTTCGGAAGCAGAACAGATCTATAAATTTAGAACATGTATTGTTTATAGTATTGTTTACTATCTAGTGTATGGTCAAAACTATATAGACTATACTAGTATGTAGACCAGACTATAGACTACACTGTAGACTAGACTGTAGCCTAGACTGTAGACTAGACTGTAGTAGTGCTGTAATATTCTACTACTTTTGATTACTCAATACTACTCAATACTTTTCGTTGGGTACTCAATACTACTCGATACTTTTAACGGTTTTATTTTATATCAAAAACGAGGAATTTTTCCTTTTTTAAGTAAAGTAGACCAGACATCACACCTCTTTTGAGACATTTTATTTTTTAGATAGCGTCGATAAATATTTGTAACTTTTAACTATTATTGCAGTGTTTAAATTATTTTTACATTGATTTGATATTGCTAAGAGTTGCATTTCTAATAATGATATGGTCTATATTAGATTTTAGAGCTGTATTTTTCACATCATAGCCGTTAAATTTAAATAAGTTAAATCATATACAAGTCTGAAAGTATTGAGTAACTACTTTTTAGTATTGAGTACCCAAAAAATACGGCAAATACTCGATACTCGATACCCACTACTCAATACTTTAACAGCACTAGACTGTAGACTAGATTAGATTATAGACTAGACTATGACTACAATATAGATTAGATTATGACTAGGCTATTGACTAGATAATAGACTATGTTATAACTAGGCTATTGCCTAGATAATAGACCAGACTATAGACTATACACTAAACTATAGACTAGATTATAGATTAGTAGTAGTTTAGTCTAGTTATAGACTACAACTAGATTATGGACTAATAGTAGTTCAGTTCTAGTTCAGTTCTAGTTCCGTTCTAGTTCAGTTCTAGTTCAGTTCTAGTTCAGTTCTAGTTCAGTTCTAGTTCAGTTCTAGTTCAGTTCTAGTTCAGTTCTAGTTCAGTTAGTTCAGTTCTAGTTCAGTTCTAGTTCAGTTCTAGCTCAGTTCTAGTTCAGTTTAGTTCAGTTCTAGTTCAGTTCTAGTTCAGTTCTAGTTCAGTTCTAGTTCAGTTCTAGTTCAGTTCTAGTTCAGTTCTAGTTCAGTTCTAGTTCAGTTCTAGTTCAGTTCTAGTTCAGTTCTAGTTCAGTTCTAGTTCAGTTCTAGTTCAGTTCTAGTTCAGTTCTAGTTCAGTTCTAGTTCAGTTCTAGTTCAGTTCTAGTTCAGTTCTAGTTCAGTTCTAGTTCAGTTCTAGTTCAGCAGTTCTAGTTCAGTTCTAGTTCAGTTCTAGTTCAGTTCTAGTTCAGTTCTAGTTCAGTTTAGTTCAGTTCTAGTTCAGTTCTAGTTCAGTTCTAGTTCAGTTCTAGTCAGCTCTAGTTCAGCTCTAGTTCAGCTCTAGTTCAGCTCTAGTTCAGTTCTAGTCAGTTTCTAGTTCAGTCTAGTTCAGTTCTAGTTCAGTTCTAGTTCAGTTCTAGTTCAGTTCTAGTTCAGTTCTAGTTCAGTTCTAGTTCAGTTCTAGTTCAGTTCTAGTTCAGTTCTAGTTCAGTTCAGTTCAGTTCTAGTTCAGCTCTAGTTCAGCTCTAGTTCAGCTCTAGTTCAGCTCTAGTTCAGCTCTAGTTCAGTTCTAGTTCAGTTCTAGTTCAGTTCTAGTTCAGTCTAGTTCAGTTCTAGTTCAGTTCTAGTTCAGTTCTAGTTCAGTTCTAGTTCAGTTCTAGTTCAGTTCTAGTTCAGTTCTAGTTCAGTTCTAGTTCAGTTCTAGTTCAGTTCTAGTTCAGTTCTAGTTCAGTTTAGTTCAGTTCTAGTTCAGTTCTAGTTCAGTTCTAGTTCAGTTCTAGTTCAGTTCTAGTTCAGTTCTAGTTCAGTTCTAGTTCAGTTCTAGTTCAGTTCTAGTTCAGTTCTAGTTCAGTTCTAGTTCAGTTCTAGTTCAGTTCTAGTTCAGTTCTAGTTCAGTTCTAGTCAGTTCTAGTTCAGTTCTAGTTCAGTTCTAGTTCAGTTCTAGTTCAGCTCTAGTTCAGCTCTAGTTCAGCTCTAGTTCAGCTCTAGTTCAGCTCTAGTTCAGCTTCTAGTTCAGTTCTAGTTCAGTTCTAGTTCAGTTCTAGTTCAGTTCTAGTTCAGTTCTAGTTCAGTTCTAGTTCAGTTCTAGTTCAGTTCTAGTTCAGTTCTAGTTCAGTTCTAGTTCAGTTCTAGTTCAGTTCTAGTTCAGTTCTAGTTCAGTTCTAGTTCAGTTCTAGTTCAGTTCTAGTTCAGTTCTAGTTCAGTTCTAGTTCAGTTCTAGTTCAGTTCTAGTTCAGTTCTAGTTCAGTTCTAGTTCAGTTCTAGTTCAGTTCTAGTTCAGTTCTAGTTCAGTTCTAGTTCAGTTCTAGTCAGTTCTAGTTCAGTTCTAGTTCAGTTCTAGTTCAGTTTCTAGTTCAGTTCTAGTTCAGTTCTAGTTCAGTTCTAGTTCAGTTCTAGTTCATTCTAGTTCAGTTCTAGTTCAGTTCTAGTTCAGTTCTAGTTCAGTTCTAGTTCAGTTCTAGTTCAGTTCTAGTTCAGTTCTAGTTCAGTTTCTAGTTCAGTTCTAGTTCAGTTCTAGTTCAGTTCTAGTTCAGTTCTAGTTCAGTTCAAGTTCAGTTCTAGTTCAGTTCTAGCTCAGTTCGTTCAGTTCAGTTCAGTCTAGTTCAGTTCTAGTTCAGTTCTAGTTCAGTTCTAGTTCAGTTCTAGTTCAGTTCTAGTTCAGTTCTAGTTCAGTTCTAGTTCAGTTCTAGTTCAGTTCTAGTTCAGTTCTAGTTCAGTTCTAGTTCAGTCAGTTCTAGTTCAGTTCTAGTTCAGTTCTAGTTCAGTTCTAGTTCAGTTCTAGTTCAGTTCTAGTTCAGTTCTAGTTCAGTTCTAGTTCAGTTCTAGTTCAGTTCTAGTTCAGTTCTAGTTCAGTTCTAGTTCAGTTCTAGTTCAGTTCTAGTTCAGTTCTAGTTCAGTTCTAGTTCAGTTCTAGTTCAGCTCTAGTTCAGCTCTAGTTCAGCTCTAGTTCAGTTCTAGTTCAGTTCTAGTTCAGTTCTAGTTCAGTTCTAGTTCAGTTCTAGTTCAGTTCTAGTTCAGTTCTAGTTCAGTTCTAGTTCAGTTCTAGTTCAGTTCTGTTCAGTTCTAGTTCAGTTAGTTCAGTTCTAGTTCGTTCTAGTTCAGTTCTAGTTCAGTTCTAGTTCAGTTCTAGTTCAGTTCTAGTTCAGTTCTAGTTCAGTTCTAGTTCAGTTCAGTTCAGTTCTAGTTCAGTTCTAGTTCAGTTCTAGTTCAGTTCTAGTTCAGTTCTAGTTCAGTTCTAGTTCAGTTCTAGTTCAGTTCTAGTTCAGTTCTAGTTCAGTTCTAGTTCAGTTCTAGTTCAGCTCTAGTTCAGCTCTAGTTCAGCTCTAGTTCAGCTCTAGTTCAGCTCTAGTTCAGTTCTAGTTCAGTTCTAGTTCAGTTCTAGTTCAGTTCTAGTTCAGTTCTAGTTCAGTTCTAGTTCAGTTCTAGTTCAGTTCTAGTTCAGTTCTAGTTCAGTTCTAGTTCAGTTCTAGTTCAGTTCTAGTTCAGTTCTAGTTCAGTTCTAGTTCAGTTCTAGTTCAGTTCTAGTTCAGTTCTAGTTCAGTTCTAGTTCAGTTCTAGTTCAGTTCTAGTTCAGTTCTAGTTCAGTTCTAGTTCAGTTCTAGCTCAGTTCTAGTTCAGTTCTAGTTCAGTTCTAGTTCAGTTCTAGTTCAGTTCTAGTTCAGTTCTAGTTCAGTTCTAGTTCAGTTCTAGTTCAGTTCTAGTTCAGTTCTAGTTCAGTCTAGTTCAGTTCTAGTTCAGTTCTAGTTCAGTTCTAGTTCAGTTCTAGTTCAGTTCTAGTTCAGTTCTAGTTCAGTTCTAGTTCAGTTCTAGTTCAGTTCTAGTTCAGTTCTAGTTCAGTTCTAGTTCAGTTCTAGCTCAGTTCTAGTTCAGTTCTAGTTCAGTTCTAGTTCAGTTCTAGTTCAGTTCTAGTTCAGTTCTAGTTCAGTTCTAGTTCAGTTCTAGTTCAGTTCTAGTTCAGTTCTAGTCAGTTCTAGTTCAGTTCTAGTTCAGTTCTAGTTCAGTTCTAGTTCAGTTCTAGTTCAGTTCTAGTTCAGTTCTAGTTCAGTTCTAGTTCAGTTCTAGTTCAGTTCTAGTTCAGTTCTAGTTCAGTTCTAGTTCAGTTCTAGTTCAGTTCTAGTTCAGTTCTAGTCAGTTCTAGTTCGTTCTAGTTCAGTTCTAGTTCAGTTCTAGTTCAGTTCTAGTTCAGTTCTAGTTCAGTTCTAGTTCAGTTCTAGTTCAGTTCTAGTTCAGTTCTAGTTCAGTTCTAGTTCAGTTCTAGTTCAGCAGTTCTAGTTCAGTTCTAGTTCAGTTTCTAGTTCAGTTCTAGTTCAGTTCTAGTTCAGTTCTAGTTCAGTTCTAGTTCAGTTCTAGCTCAGTTCTAGTTCAGTTCTAGTTCAGTTCTAGTTCAGTTCTAGTTCAGTTCTAGTTCAGTTCTAGTTCAGTTCTAGTTCAGTTCTAGTTCAGTTCTAGTTCAGTTCTAGTTCAGTTCTAGTTCAGTTCTAGTTCAGTTCTAGTTCAGTTCTAGTTCAGTTCTAGTTCAGTTCTAGTTCAGTTCTAGTTCATTCTAGTTCAGTTCTAGTTCAGTTCTAGTTCAGTTCAGTTTTCATTGCGATCGGACGTATTTATCAAAAGCTCCCGTTTAAATCTATTTTACTGTGAAAAGTGTGTGTGAATAAATCAAACAATTTACATATATCTATCTAGAATTAAAAAACATAAATTCTGATACTATAAACCGCAAATATAATAATATATTCGGTGAAATTACATAAAACAAAAACTGAAATTTTAATCACATAAATCTAAGCCTATACAAAATAAATCAAGAAAAAAAAGAATAATAAAAACATCAAAAATGAGCAACGTTTTCTGCAACCAAT